TAGATATTTACACAACAGGTGTGATGTTTTCTTCTCAAATATCAGTAAATTCGCTATATAGTCATTTAAACCCAGCAGGCATAATCTGGCTTCATGCCATCCTACAATTAAGTGTTTTGTTCGGACCAATCCTTTCTTAAAAACTTTCAATTAACTTCTATGGATAGAGTCGGAGGTTGAATATTTGGAGTATATAGGCTATGTTGCTATTAATCTGGCTGCTAAAGAATCTCAATTTCTGTAGACCTTTGCAGAGAGTCATCTTATATCAATATCCATTTGTAGTCATTAGAAGCAGATATAGAAAGAGGGGCTCCAACGAAGGGGCAAGGACAAGGTTATCACTGTTAAAAAATATTTCACATGAAAAAAGTTGTCTGTATCCGTCAAGACCTGTATCCCTCCGACAGCGGTGTACCTTTAAATAATTTTATTTAAAGGTTTGCTAGGGTTAAAAGACCTTTTATCATTATATCATTAATTTTTTTGAATCATTATTTGAAACGTTTTTGAAAAAGACTTAATATACCAGCGTTGATTGATAACAATGCTTAATAATTTATTTATTTTTTTTTTTTTTGACAGTGGGTTGAAGCATTGAAAGCCACCGTGTGAGACTTGAACCTATTAAACCATCTCTTAGAAATTAATGGAGAAGATTTCAACAGCATTGTGGAAACTTCATTTCAGTAATCAGGGGAGAGAGGAGAAAAAATAGACTTAATACCTGACCACTTACACACTTTAGTGGGTAAACTATGTTTTAAAAGACCCAGTAGAGTTTGTTCAGAAGATCCAATCTAGATTGACTGCAAAATAATGGAGTAAATTTAATAAGCAGTGCTTATCAAAAGTAAGAACAAAAGCTGCAATAATGAAATTGTGTCCACCGAAAGCAGACAGTCTAATGGTTGCCAAATGATTACATACAAAGGTACGATTCCTTGTCTACATGTACTGATCCTTAAAGTCACATCCTGATTAATTTTAATAGTTCCTTATTAGTTTATGTGCTCTAAAAAGTATTTAATTAAAATGTTTTAATTGTTATGATCTCATATAATAAAAAAAGAATATATCTATACTTTTATAAATTAAATATTTTTCTTAATTATAAAAAGTTTTCTTACACTTGAGAAGTATTCAGAAGAAATAATAAGTAATGAAGATAACATAACAGTCTAGCATAACAAATTTAACAGTAATGGTTTAACATAAATGCGGTGGGTCAATTGCTGTTATGATCAGTAACAGTGTAAAATCTATTAAGAACGACTGGGCAATAATGTTTGATTTATTATGGAAATATTATCGTTTTTAACTTTATTCTATATTAAATATATGAACATATTTAAAAAAACTTTAGTAGAGTAGACTCTGGCACTTTCGAGAATTATGTACAACTTTTTCATATTCTTAAAATTAATTATTTCATATTAAAGTTAAAAATGTACAACTTTTGTAGCGAACA